TGAAATTTATTGCAATAATTAAGAATTTTGATCAATTTCTTATGGGAAAACTCTATTAGTCAAATAAGTAACCATTTAAAACTATTATACTTCGATAGTATCTAGTTAGACTGAATGAGTTGCACGCTTTACCTCCGCTGCCCTACTAAAGCACTTAAATCATTATAATATCTTCTTTATTATATACTCATTTTCCTTATTCAATGTATATGCGTTAATTTGAACGTTTTGCATAAACCCCATTTTTTCGTCACTATTTGCCTTATATCAAGGTAATTTAACGCTAATTTAATTTAATTTTCTTCAAAGCATTTATCCTCTGGACTTATAGTCAAGCTTCAAGCCTACATGGAGGAGATAAACTCAGATATTATTTCTTCTACGGAGGAGTTCGCAAATCATATACCTCGGTAAGTTTTAATTAAATTGGAACCTACCGAGTTTGTCATTCTGATGCTGTTTTTCTGGCTCGTTAGCATCTCGTAACACAGCGTTAGTTTGTAATAATATATTTTGGGCCTTCTAGTCAGCTTATATACAGTGAGGGGTTTTGTTAGAATTTATTGTGCTCTATTAGACATCGTATTAGGCCTTTTTTTGAACTCTCACGTTGTATGATCAGTAATAGGATTTTGGAATGTGAGAACTGTTATTACAACAAACCTGAACATTCGTAACACCAAAGAAAGCGAAAAGATGAACTTTATAAATATGATAATTATGGCAAGTTTGTTTTTATAGGGTAATGCAGACTTGAGCTAGCAAACCCTGATGTTAAAAAGTGTGGTTGAATTACAGGCTATTACTTACTTCGAATGTATGTGAGAAATTTTTTTCCTTGCCCTATTTCGTTTACACTTGTTATATTCTGTTCCATCATTTTGGAAACAGATAGATATGGTTAATTGGATATAGTGGGAATGGAAGGGGTAACCTCTTATTTATATTAATTATTGAATTATATCTAAGGAAATAAATTGCTTGAGGGCCGTTACTTGTTTTATCCTGACTCGGGGAGGATTCCCGTTGAGCTTATCTATTCGAGTGTAATAGATCAATCTCTCAACATCCTTTGAATCAAAACTATCCTCTTTTTGTAATAACACAAAAGGCCACACCATCTTGGCCTTCATACCATAGAACACTATGTCTAACTAGATTTGTCCTATAGTGATGACCGCTTAAATAATCATCGATCACATGGCCAGGTGCTAATGGCATAAGACTACTTAAATGAGTATTTCTTTTATAATAACCCAATCTATAGGATTTCGTTTGATAGCATCTATTAGCAAAGGCTAAGGTGGTCTAGAGTCTTTTGGGTTAATTCTTTTGTTAGCTAAAGCCTCAAAGAGGTAACTTTAATTTTCATACCCCAAAACAATTATTATAACTCCCTATAGCGAATTCGTATCATTGTTTGAGAGTAAGTGTCAGGTTCTAGATATCAAGTTTTTTTCCCTTTAGCCTCATCAGCTGGTCAATCAGATGCCAGTACAACAAACGAGAATATGTAAAGGATGAACATTAATGGCTCAGTTGTAATTAAATTCAGTGCGGCTGCTCTATTTAATCTCTTCTTACTTGGCTCCTGCTTTCATTTATAACGCATTCTCCCCAGCTCTGCTACTTTTAAATCCACTTGCAACATTCGTTTCTGGACAAACTTGTGGTGGTATAGTGTTGTTTCGACCTTATTTCCGCAACTTAGTCGGAGCGTCAGGGAGACCTTGTGGAACCTACCTAGACATGTGTCCTCTAAAATAGTATTCGTGAATTTCAGCATTTGACCATTGACCATTGACTTGTTGCATACCCAAACGTTTCGCCAACATCGTTAGTGAGAGACGCTATCGTAAGCACAAAGTTACAACTTATCAAAGTGACAAGTGAAGGCAATCCCCTTTTCTTTTCAGCATTACTCGTCCATATTTTTTTAATGTTATACCTTCTTGCGCATCATCTCTTTCTCTCAACCTCACTTCACTTAACCCATCCACTTATTCACACATTTCTGTGCTCTCATTTCCTGTAGTGTCGTTTAAGACTGTGTCGCTACTAGTGTGTGTAGTGAAGCGTAATCATCTCCATCTTCGTAATCAGGTGCCCTTTGCAGGGCTCCTGACTTACGATGCCGGCGAAACGTTTTGTAATGTACCCATCCAATGGTCCAATGCTAGAAATCACTAATACTATGGCTGAAGACGCCCGACTAGGTACGCTCCACAAGGTCTCCCTGACGCTCCGACCAGGTTGCGAAAACAAGGTCTAACCAACACTATAAAGCTAAAGTAGACTGCGATCAAACATTTTGGTCTTCATATCTACGATCTAATTGTGGTAGTATGTCTTGATAGCAGTAGTTACCTTGGCCTAATGAGCATCTATAAGTATACTTAATACTTTTAATATCTAATGCATTAATTTGGTGCATGTCATTGCTGGAAGGAAGGGAACCCAATTTACTGAGACGACCCATTTCTTGTTTGATAAACAATATTAAATATCTTTGTAAGGAAATATTTATCCCGGAATCTTTTACTCATAACAAATCAGCTCTCAGACCTAATTCTGTTGGAATTGGGGCGAAGCTACTCTTGGAATGCCGGTTCTTTATGTAAGCTTGCAAGCATTATTAGAATTATTCCTTCTTGTTCCTGTGAATTCATTTCAACATCTTTTCTACACTAGAATGCGTATCTTAATTTACCCTTTGTTATACTAACAGGCGTATTTGTGCACTACTACTTGTATTTTATTACTCTATTGTTCTAAACATTCTTTCACTCCTTTAGCATATTTCGTGAACTTGAAAATGTTCGACAAGAGGC